AGGAAACCGTGGATGCGCACGGTGCGGTCCACCGCGGCCCCATCACACGCACATCCGTGCGCAGAACAGGAGCCCCAAGGTCAGCTCTGACCTGCCCAACGACGGGGCGTCCTCAGTCTCACAGGGAAACGGACACCACGTGGGAACTCCTTTCCTCCTGTTCATGGACTCGGCCGATGCCGCACTGGGGTGGGAGTGGGCACAGTGGCCGAGACCCTCCCCTGACCCACCGGCGGCGTCCCCACGCCCCCTGGAGATCCAGACGTCCCTGAAGAAGTGACCTAGTGGGGCGCAGGCGCCTCCATCAACACTTTGGGGAAAAGCCCTCTGGGGACGAAGACACCCAGGGGCCCGGGCTGTGCTCTCGCGGCCGGCTGGCTGCGGGGGGTCGCACGTGGGTGAGAAGGACGGTTACCTTCTGGCTGGACAGGTCTTTCTTCAGCCGGTCCAGCTCTTCCTGCTGGCTCTGGACCTGCAGCTGCATCTCGGACGTGGGCCTGCTGACGGCACCAGCACTCTGTGCCCCCTCCGCCGAAGGGTCACCGCTGACGTGGCGGTTTCTGTACGATCCGATCATGTCTTTCAAAGGGCGCTTTCCTTTGTAGGGAATACGTCCAAAATCAAAGGGAAATCCTGAGCCAGTTACTCCTACATAAAAACAAAACTTGTTTTCTAAGTGCAGGACGAGTCATCCTTCTGGAAACTCCCACCCGCCATCCTCGGGGAAGTTCTGCGTTCACTGCGCAGAGAGCATGGGCAGGAGTGGGGACGCCTCCGGGCCCTGGCTCGCTCTTGACGAAAACCGAGCCCGACTCAAAGATGATCCCCCCGCCCTGGATCCTTCCTTATGAGACTCGTCACGTGGTCCCTTTTCAAGAAAACGTTCAGGCTGTGATTGCTCAACGTCTGCCTTAGGATGCGGGGAAAATGGGCGGAGTGCACTGGAACAGATGAGGAATTTAGGACAAGGCCGCAGGACACCTCGCTCAAGACTCGTCTGGGATGCCGTCTTTTTTCCAGAAGCTGAGGTCTCTTCCCCAATTTCCCATTTCGGTCACTTTCAGGACCAAAGGGGACAGAGACACAGGCTGAGGAAGAGCACAGTGGTTCCAAGTGCCCACAACGTCCCAGAAACACGGAGCCTCTTCCCCGGGGCGCTGCCTGCAGTCAGACAGCAGGCTCCCGGGCGGGACTCACAGACACAGGGATCCTTGGCTCCCTTCGCTCATCTGTTCTCAGTAAGAAAACAAAACAAAGCCCTGCCCTAAACGTACGTCTTCTTCACTGTGAACAAGTGTTTCAAAGCATGACTACGTTCTCTTCCTTAAAAATGGGCCTTTAAGGGGCGCCTGGGTGGCTCAGTTGGTTAGGCGACTGCCTTCGGCTCAGGTCATGATCCCAGGGTCCCGGGATCGAGTCCCACGTCGGGCTCCCTGCTCTGCGGGGAGCCTGCTTCTCCCTCTCCCCCTCCCTCTGCTGGTGTTCCCTCTCTCGCTGTGTCTCTCTCTGTCAAATGAATAAATAAAATCTTTAAAATAAATAAATAAATAAATAAATAAAGTTATAATGGCATCAAACTTCTGGTCAAAACCGGAACATGACAAGAGTAGTAAGAAATCAAAATGAAAAAACCTAGTTGTTTCAGATAACGTTTGATCGTGGTGGTGGTGTTTTTAAAGATTTTACTTTTAAGTAGTCTCTATACTCAACGTGGGGCTCGAACTCACAACCCCAAGATCAACAGTCGCGCGCTCCACCGAAAGCCAGCCAGGCGCCCGTTTGGCGTTCTTGATACTTTCTGAAAGCATGTTTGTTTCTCTCAATTACTCCAGAACAAGGGATGCCGCATAATTAAGCCTAGCTGACGGCAACCCTGCCCAACGATGCTGGCCTTCCTCAGCTAGGCAGGAGGGGAGGGGACGGTCAGGCAGACAGGGGCGCGGCCAGGCCGGGCACCCACCTGCTCAGACCCACCTGTTCAGACCCTGGCAGTAGCCGATATCCGGGTTCCTCCAGGAGAAGGCCAGCAGGACGTTGCGGAGCTTCTGGATGCCCTCTGAGGTGGGGCAGGAGTAATGCTTGTTGGTGGGCAGAGTCCGCAACAGGTCCAGCTCGATCTGCTTGGAGGCCGGGTTCTGTTTCTCCAGCGCCTTCCGGAGCAGCGTCTGGAAGTACCCAGGCTCGGTGCTGTCCTTGAACTTCCTGGTGTGGAGGTCCACGCACCATTTCCACACCTTGGAACGGTGCTCGTGGGGGATGCCTGCCCGGATCAGGTTCTTCAGCTCCGGGGAGCACACCATCTCCCTGTTCATCGTGCTCGCAAAGTAGTTTTCCCACTTGACGCCGGTGGACACCTCCTGGTTTTCTGTGAGATACAGGGTCTTCAGGTCCAGCGCTCGGACCTTGGCCACCAGCTTCTCCTCCTCGTCATCCTCTGGGACGGTCCTAAATCCATAGATATCATACTCACTGTTGAGAAAAACAAAGGAAAAATTGAATGACAGGATTCTGACAAAAACACCAACCAAACAGAAAAACACGTTGGCCCACGCATACGTGGCCCTTTGACCTGGGACCAGGCACTGGAGCTCGGTGAGGGAAGAAGAAACTTCTCAACAGCCGGGGCAGGACAAGTGGCTAGCTCAGTGGGAGGAAATGAAATTCCATCTCTTGATACTAAAATAAAAATAGATTCCAGATGGTTTAAAGCCCCACGTGTGAAAAGCACGGAAGAAAGAAATGCGCCTGGTAAACTGGCCACGTGAACGTGTGTTTACACATCATACGCATCCGTGCATGTAACTTCGTGTTTGGAAAGCATCATTTTAAAACGTGGAAAAGCGAGGGAAAGTATTTGCATAGACGTTAGGGACGAAGACAACGTGGGTGTGGGAGGCAGGACTGCGGCCCCAAGGACGTCCAGCCATGGCTCCTCACACCTGTGGCTGGCCACATCATATGGCATCACGCTGATTCAGCTGGGACAGGGAGGCTACCCCGGACCGTCGGGGGCCAGCGGACACACAGGGCCATTCATGGTGGAGGAGCAGGGCAGGACCGCGGGCGTGCAGACCACGGGCGTGTGGGCCGCGGGGCCCCCTGCTGCTGGCTGAGGAAGGGAGGAGGAGGCCTGTGGCCTCCAGAAGCGGGAAGACCACCCCAACCGCCAGCGTGGAAACAGAGCCCTCACTCTACAACCCCAGGGAACAGCTCGAGTGCGTGAGGACACACGGTGCCTGTGACACCTGGAATGTCCAGGGAGGCCCACCGGCCAGCCGGCCCGCAGAGGCTCAGACAGCAAATGGGTGGTGTGTAAGCGGCCACGTCTGTGCCAACCTACTGGGGCTGGAAAGACGTGTTCCCTGCAGGCCGGGGATCCCGCTTCTCGTCTACACCTTGGAGATGCCCCCCCACGGGCACGTGGAAGCACAAATCCCTATGTTCACTGTGCCTCATCTGTCACAAGGGGACGTGGAAGGACCCTGCGTGTCCACCATGAGGGAAAGGAGCAGAGACACCGAGGTTTGGGTGCCTCTGACAGTGAAGGGGGCATGAGGCCCGCGGAATGCAGCTCGGGGGCCACACGGATCCACCTGGAAGATTTCAGGAGGTAACGATGAAAAGTTGCGAGTATGGTGGGATTCGTGTCTTAGAAGGTGTCTCCAGTGAGGACTTAGAAACGCACACTGAAGCGTCGTAAGATGGAAGAACACGATGTCTGGCATCTGCTGTGAAGTATTGCAGAAAAATCCCTGGGGGCGGGGAGGAGAAGATGCAACCAGACTGACAGTAATTACAGAAGGGTTGCCTGGGGGGTCGTCACGTGACTCTACTCTGCGGGCTTGAAATTTTCCACGAGTCAGAAATACATCGATACGCACAGCTGTCATTCTGCTTACACACGAGGTTTGGAAACAACGTGAACAGAACGAGCCCAGAGGTGCCCGCGGGAGGAAGACAGGCCCTCACGAGCAGCCCTCAGCCCCGCAGCCCTGCGGAGAGCGCAGCGTGGAAGCCAGCCACCCAGGACGGGGTCCTGTCCCCATGACTCGGGGGCCGTGCGTCCCTCCCCGTCCACGGAGCGCTCAACATGCGCCAGCGGGTAGGGCCCTTGGCGCAGCTCCTGGCACGCGGGCCTCAGGGAGCGCTCTTCAACAGGGGCGAGGCTCACGTGCTGCGAGCTGACACGGCAGGTCCTGCTGGAGTGTGTGCATCCACGGCGTGGGTCAGAGCCTCGGGGGGCACCGAGCCACCGTGCCGGGCTGGCCAAGCCTTCTCCCCACGCGGGGGCCCCTCCGCTCTTGAACCACGGGTGGGAGCAGCTGCGCATCAGGACGGGGCTCCTACTCTCTGGGGGACTGGCTCCCAGCAGGACTGGAGCTGAGGCTGGAACCGTGGACCCCGGCGCGCTTGGGAGGGAGGTCCTGGACTCAACGACCTGGCCTGAGCCTGGCTCTGCCGCACGCTTATGACGGCGAGAACGCCGAGAGCATCCGTTCTGATGATGGGCGTGCAATGGGACACGCACTTGCATCCTGTCCTCTGTGAGCGACAACCGTCGTTGAAACGGGTCCCACCACCCACGGCAGTCGCCGGTGCCCTTACCTGACAAGATGAGGCTTCACGAACGCCTGCTCTGGGCCCTCGACCTGCAGGGCGTCCTCCAGCAGCTGAGCTATGACGTCACGAGAAGGCCCCTGTTCTTCTGAGCAAACCGGCGTCTTCATCTCTTGCAGCAGGATCAGGTACTTGCTTTCTATCTGGCACAACTTGGCTTCCAGGCTAGAATACTAGAGAGAACAGGGAGGTCACCTCCACCCCGACCAGGACACAGCACCGGCAGCCCTCGGCGCCTCGAGCAGCCGACGAACGACACGCCCCGGCTACGGGGAGGTGAGCCGGGGACCGTACGCAGGACAGCAGATTCACGTTGCCACAGGCCACCTGCCGCGTCCGCAGTGGCTGCCCCAGGCCCCCTCCTGCCGGGGCGCTGGCCCAGCGACACCCACATCACTCCCTCACGGCTGAAGGCAGCGGCAGGAACAGGACCGCGTGGCCGTCCCTGCGGTCATGCTGAGTGTCACCCAGCACGCGGGCTGTGAGCAGGTGCCCACGTGGCACTGACATTTCCCGGGACGCCGTGCCCTGGGACCAGCTCCCGTCTGCCGCCTCATCAGACACACCCTGGGGCCACGCGGACGCAGGTCCGGGAGGACGCGGGGAGCTGGGTTCCAGGGGGACACGGAGCGCACACAGTGGGGACCGTGAGCGCCATCGGACACCACCGGGTGACAGCAGCTGTGCTGATGCTGCGTCCCAGCCACAATGCCGACAGACAGGCAACCGCCGGGTTCCCAGCATCCCCGTTTATGGAGGGGAAACCGGTCCACACAACGCAACGGGACAAGATCATAATCCAAACACCCCTCGTTTGGGGAACCTGAGCGTCAGAGTGAACGGTTTTCCGTAAACCCCGTGATGTGTGCAGATGACGACACATCAGGGCACCTCTACTCGCTTCCGTCTCAGACACGGCAACACCGAGTACGCAGCGCTCTGCACCCTGTGTTTCGGTTCAGTGACCTCATGCCCCCAGTGTGGGGGCAGGGCTGGTTTACGATGTGCCCACTTCTAAAGGCTTCGGCGTCCCCGGCCACCAGGAAACAGAGCCGCACCCTGACCCACCTTGGCCATCAGATCTCGCTCCCTCCTTTCCGCGTTTCTCCGCAGTGCTGAGAGCTCCAAAATCTCCTTATTTAGGAACTTATTCTGGGTTTTATACCCCTGTAGGTTATCCTGTTGGGGAAAAAAAGCCATCAGTTCACACCGGTCTCTCTCTCTCTGTTAATATATCACCGTCTCCGCAAAGAGCCCAAGTTAGCGCGAGCTTCAAGAACCGACCACCGGGCACTTCCTGATGGTCTCCACCGCCAGCCTTGGGGCGCTGAGGGAACACGCAGGATTACATCCTCACGCTGCGCAGTGTCATGTCCCCACACTCACTGATGTGGCACAAACCCTTGTGATTGTTTCTTCTGCAGCTCGAGAAACAACACGTTTTCTGGGGGTTCTTGCCGTCCGTCACTGAGGGTGGAGCGAAGGCCTCGCGCACACACGGCGCTCGACTACAGAACCCCACCTGCCACCTGTAGCGGACAATGCGCTCCAGGAAGCACGTTCCTCCCGTTTGTGTGTTGAAACAGCGGCTCAGTTGTTAAGCGTCTGCCTGCGGCTCAGGTCATGATCCCCGGGGCC